CAATGGAGATGTTATTGGTGCCCGCTAGAGTAAATCGATGAACGACAGGACGACAGTGCAATAAAGCAGTGCAGTTTTGTTTATTTCGGAGGTTGGTGGGGGGGTTCACAGCCCTGTGCTCGGGGGCTACTCCAGGCTCTGTGCTCAAAGGAGACCCCTGGCAATGCTTGGGGACCATAGCAGGTACTGAGAGTGGAACTGGGTGTCAGCGGCATGGAAAACACTCACCTTACATCCACCAATATCTCTTGCCCTGAATTTTTATAGGGCTAGATCGACATATTCTATTTGTCTAGAACTGTTAATTTTTTTTTTCAAAGCAGAAGCAACATTTTGGAGATGACGTGGGGCCTTGACTTTTATGGGTGGGGAGAATGGGATGCTGGGAGGGAAGAGAAGTTCCTTCTTCCCCCCACTCTCGATTTCAATCCCATCCCCTCCCACGCCCTCGTGATGTCCAGTGACTTTGGCCTCCCTGTCATTCCTCAAGACACACAATCCATGAGGGTGGGACGCTCGCTCAGATAAGAAACTGGGGGTTCTCATTGATTGGCAGGAGCATGATCAGGCTTAAATCCTTAATCCTTTACTCTTTCTTTCTTTCTTTCTTTCTTTCTTTCTTTCTATCAAATAAAATGAGGTTTGGGTTGCAAGCTGCATAGGTTCCTAAGGCATTTCAGCTCAATAGTGGTGCATAAAATAATAATGATGATAATAGTTCCGATGAAAATAAAAATAAGGGGCTGAAGCAATACACAGCGGGTACTGTGTTTGCCTTGCACAGGGCCAACCTGGGTTTGATTCCCAGCATCCCATATTGTCCCCCAAGCACCGCCAGGAGCAATTCCTGAGTGCAGAGCCAGGAGTAATCCCTGAGCATCTCTGGGTGTGGCCCCCCAAAGCAATAAATAAGTAAATAAATAATAAATATCATATTAACACCACCATAATTACCTACAATATTTTCATATCCTCCAAGCTACTTCAAACTGCCTCCTGAAATTGGTCTCTAACAAGGGGACACAGAATAGGCAATTAGAAATTAATGAGAGCTGTGTTCAGCCAGGGGTGGATAAAGATCTGCAGGGGCAACACCCGGAAAAGGCTCCCCCTTGATTTCAGGAGACCCAGATGTCAGTCAGCCCTGGGCTGGAAGGGGGCTCACCTTTCAAAGACTTTGCGGAAGGCCTGGGGATAGGAACTTGGGAGCTGCTGAGAAGTTTGGCTGGATCCTTGCCAGGAGGCTGTCTGGCTGCCTAGACTCTATCCAATTGTCTCCTAGATTTGGGGGACCCGCTGACCCCACTCCTCCATTCCAGTGCTGCCCCAATAGCATCCCTCCTCTAGGACATCTTGGTCCTGGTTCCCACCTCCTGGTCACTGAGCATGCAACAGACCGACATCAGCACGCTGCCAAAGGGAACACCCTGCAAATCTGCACAACGGCGGAAATCACATTGGTCCAGAAACGCCTGGAATGCTTCTCCAATGAGAAGCCAGAGCCTTGTCCTAACTTCGGGGTCTATTTTTAAGCTACCTTGGCAAGACCACATTGGAGCTTGAGACCTCAATTTTATGTGACTCCATGTATTGCCAGAGGTCACAGAAAGCTAAGAACAAGAAGGGTCATCGAGTTCCCAACACTCTTTGCCAGAAAGTCAGGGCTAACTTCATTTCCCACCGTGACTGGGGTTTAAAACACTGGGTTGGGATTAGCCGTAGACTTGCTATTGATTCTCACACACTGTCTCTCCATCCTCCATATGCCACCCCCTTTGTCGCTATTTTCCCTTTTTTGGAAGGGGTTGTTTGGGTTTGGGGATGCTCAGGAATTATTCCTGTCTCTGCTCAGAAGTAACCCTCTTGTGGTACCAACAGAGGACCATATGTGGTGCCAGTGAAGGAATAGTAACTTGGTTCATCAAAACCATAAAAGTAACACACTCTTATAAGCATATTACCTGAACTGAAAAAAAAAAGTTAAGTTGCAAAGGCTGGCAAGCTACCCGTGACGTATTCAATATGCCAAACACAGTAACAACAAGTGTCACAATCGAGACGATACTGGGCCCGCTCCAGCAAATTGATGAACAATGGGAGGACAATTCTACAGTGCTAAGTCACTGATATCTCTGAAAAGCATATTCAATATTCACAACTGAGGTCAGGGGCAAGGTGGCAGGCCCTCCATGCTCTGGATAGACAAGGTTTCTAGAATAACAGAATAATGGAAGGAATCAATTGGTCTTGACTCCATGCAGGGCAAGTCATCAATGTGGGTGTTACTTCCTGCTGCACAGGCATTGGGGGGTAGTGGTGGAGGACTTAGTTCTTGGACAATTGAGAGTTTTTGCATAGGATCAGTTTCTAGACACCTCTGCAATCATGGAGAACTCTGGCTTTTTTTTTTTTTTTGCTTTTTGGGTCACACCAGGTGATGCTCAGGGGTTACTCCTGCCTCTGTACTCAGGGATTACTCCTGACAGTGCTTGGGGAACCATATAGGGTGCCAGGAATCGAACCCGAGTTGGCCTCGTGCAAGGCAAACGCCCTACCCGCTGTGCTATTGCTCCACCCTGAACTCTGACTTTCTAAGCCTCAGTTGCTTTGTTAATTTGGGGGGTGGGGGTGGGATTGGGTTTTCTTTCTTTTTTTTTTCCTAACTATAATAAGGAATTTTAGGGCCAGAGTGATACAATAGAGGGTATGGCACTTGCCTTGCATACTGCCAACCTGAGTTTCCCCAACGTTCCATATCACACCCACCAGGAGGGGTCCCTGATTGCAGAACCAGGAGTAAGCCCTGATTACTGCCAGCTGTGCCACCCCTCCCCCCGGAAAAAATAAAAACAGAAACAGTAGAAGTTTCAACAAGAATATTTCTATGATACCCCTGAGGTATAAAAATGAGTGGATAATTCTTAGTTCTCAGTGTTTGTTTAATGTAAACATCTGTTGATCTGCTGTCTGATTCCGTGGACCCCACTGGAATAGATCTAGATAATGAGAAAAGGTCTCAAAGGCCTCAAACTTCTGCAGTGAAGTTACATCTTGGGTTGACGGGCCTGAATCCAGGATCATGGACAGCTGGCCCAGCACACCAGCCACATGAAGGAATGACCCTGTACTAGATACAATCCAGTTTGTATATGACTTTAATCCCAGAGTCAGACTCTTTACTGCCCCAGAGGTGAAAATACCAAAAATATGAGACTTATAAATTAATGAACTCACCTCTTCTGGAGCGATAGCACAGCGGTAGGGCATTTGCCTTGCACGCAGCCAACAGTTCGATTCCTCTGCCCCTCTCGGAGAGCCCGGCAAGCTACCGAGAGTATCTCACCCACACGGCAGAGCCCGGGAAGCTCCCCGTGACGTATTCGATATGCCAAACACAGTAACAACAAAGTCTCCAATGGAGACGTTACTGGGCCCACTCGAGCAAATCAATGATCAATAGGAGGGCCTTTACTTTACTTTACTTTTACACCTCTTCTGATATCTAGTCCCCAATTTTGCATCTTTGGGGGATGGAGAGCTGGACTTGAACCCCAAAACTACGTCCCCTGGGACCCCCCTCCATTGAAATAAAACATGAATCAAGCCGTTCCACTGAGAAATCTGGGTGGAGATGTAAATTGTTTTCTCTACTTCACGGTCTCAGTCCTAACAGGCCATCTCAACCAATGACGGACCTTGGGTACCAAGGTATCTCAGGTGGAAGGATGTGACACATCGACCAGTGTCATCACTGCTACAAATAGAATGGGAACACTGCTTATACACAGGAATTCTAGATCAGGCACCATATGGGAAGGTTCAAGAAAGCCATGCATTTTCCTTGCAATACCCTCTTCTAGTTTCTTCGTGATATTTGTAGCTCCTGTTTTGTTTGATAAATATGTGTGGTGTTGCCTTTGATTGATTAAGTCCTTTATGGGCATTGTATTTTAACCAAAGAAAAGACAGTTCAAGAATTTATTGCTGGACTGGAGAGAAAGCCTTAGTTGCATGTCTGACACACACAGGGACCCAGGTTCGATCCCCAGTACCAAGCATGGCTAAAGTAGCTCCGTTAGCCCTTGTTTTTGCAGGGGAGGCCCCTCTCCCTGCAAAAAACAAAACCCAAAACCTCACTCTTCTCTTTGTTTTTTTTTTTGAGGTAAATAGTGCAGTGTTTGTTATTTTGGGGGCTGTGTTGAAATTTCCTAGTCATGCTTCTAACTTGAATCTCACTAAAATTTCAGGTTAGAGTATCTAGGATTCAGTGGAAATAGCCCTCTCCTTTCTTTCTTTCTTTCTTTCTTTCTTTCTTTCTTTCTTTCTTCTGGCTTTTTGGGTCACACCCGGCATTGCTAAGGTTTCTCCTGGCTCTTCACTTAGGAATTATTCCTGACAATGCTCGGAGACCATATGGGATGCCAGGGATTGAACCTGGGTCTGTTGCATGCAAAGCAAACACTCACCCTATCCACTGTACTATCACTCCAGCCCCCTCCCCCAGCCCCCTCAGATTTCATACTATCATTATACATTCAGTAGTAGTGAAATCCAATTCACTATCTTCTATTGAGATTCTCTTAGCATGGTCTACATCTTGTCAATGGACTCAAAGCATCTTCTCACCTCAGCCCAAGTATGGCAAAGATTCTGACTCCTATTATCACTAACATCTCTTGGCATCACCTTTGAAATAAGAACTGGGTCACCTTCTTCCTTTCTCAATTTCTTTTCTTACTCTTGTTTAAACCTTCATCATTCCTGTCTGAATGATAGCCCTCCCTGACTAGATTCAAGTAAAACCGCTTCTGGTTCTATCATGCTTGACTGCCCTCCTTTCCTGTTTACTTTCTTTTCAGGGGGTTGGGTCATATGTAGGGGGCTCAGGGTTTATTCCTGGTTCTTTGCTCAGGAGGGACCCCTGCATTGCTCAGGTCACCAGGTGCAGTGCTGGGGATTTGAATGCAAGGCCAGTTGCACTGTCCTCCCTGTTACTTTACCTGCAGAACTGGACATCCTGATCAAATTGGGAGGATTCGGGTTGTGTGCCTTCCTTCAGCTGGCTGACATTGAAGAAGGAAAGGGTGTGGTTGATAAAGCCGTGCAGAGTCCCATTGTTACTGTAGGAGTACTGGTAAACCAGGCGGGGGATAAAGTCGGAGGTGACAGCGATGACGAAAGCCTGAGGAACAGAATGAAAATCACTTGAGGAGAGGCTGGGTGGTGACCATCCAGGTGGCAGTGTTCAGTCTGACTGCAAGACTGACTCCCACAGGCCTCTCGCCCAGAAGTCCTTTGCTTGGAGTTTGCATGGCCAGCTTGTGTGGCTTCTCATCCTTGGTGTGTGTGTGTGTGTGTGTGTGTGTGTGTGTGTGTGTGTGTGTACTATCTTGTAAGAGAGAGAAAGAGAGTGACAGAGAGACAGACAGACAGGGACACACACACACACAGACAGTCAGACACAAACACAGACAGAAAAACGCAGAGAGAGAGAGAGAGAGAGAGAGAGAGAGGTAGAGACAGAGACACACACAGAGATAAGACACACACAAACACACACAGAGAGACAAAGAGAGACAGGAGGGAGGGAGAGACATACAGACATACAGACATACAGATACACACAAACACAGACAGAGAGTGAAAGAGACAGACAGACAGACACACAGAGACAGAGACACACACAAACAAACAAAGAGAGAGAGGCAGAGACAGACACACACAGACAGAGACACACACAAACACAGAGAGAGAGACACGCAGAGAGGAGGGAAAGAGAGAGAGAGAGAGGAGGGAGGGAGAGAGAGAGAGAGAAAGTACCACTGTGGACCACTTAGTCCTGGAAGGGTTAAACCGCCCTCAGGGGTCTGCAGTGACACTACTGGTGTTACCCAAGCTACACAGAGTGGGAGATCCTCTGAGAAAACAACCAATATTGGTGAGAGTGTCACAGAAGGGCTGTGCGTGTGTGGACACTGAATGACTCTGTCCATATGTTACTGAGTGACACCAGGAAGCTCAAGGATAAGGCCACAGTGCCCTCAATCTGACCATCTGTTCTCACCATTTTTAAATACACCCTGTATCGATGGACTTCTTTTCATCCATTTCATTTTGGAAAGGGGAGGAAAGCGAGGCAAAGAACGGAGAGACCTGACCAGCCAGTCAAAACCACACATACCCTGCATCGCATCTGGTGTAGCTAAGCACCCATAAATGTCTATGGAGCAAAGCAGAGGACAAATGAGCAATTGCATGTTTGAATATGGAGGTACTTTCTGCACAGAAAATCTTAAATCTTTTTGGCAGCTGTTTACACTGAATCCTGTACCAACAATCAAAGCCACCCCGCCCCCCGCCCTTTTTTTTAAAAGTATAGTTTAGGTATTGTTTTCTGGATGTATACATGACGTGTGTATGGGGGAGAGACAGAGGCTGGCTATAACTCACCCTCCCATCTCAGAGGGTGAGTCACATACTTTTGAACATCCCAGTTCTTACTTTCTGAGCACTTGCTAATTGCCCTTTCATCCTTCCACTAGATTTCCAGAATGATCCTAGGTGGTGGATACCATTACTCTCTCCCCTCCTCACATATAAGGAGTTGGGTATTTTTTTTTTGTTTGGGTTTTTTTTTCTTTCTTGGGTCACACCCAGTGATATTCAGGGGTTATTCCTGGCTCTGCACTCAGGAATTACTCCTGGTGGTGCTCGGGTGACCGTATGGGATGCTGGGGATCAAACCTGGGTGGGCCACATGCAAGGCAAATGCCCTACCTGCTGTGCTATCGCTCCAGTCCAGATAAGGAGTCTTAGAGAAGTGAAAGAGATGGAACTTCCTGTCACTTGATTGTATTGATGGAAAGTACCTGACATTCAGGGCCTCTCTTCAAGTAGACTTGACCCCAAAGGAGCAACTCATCCATTATCCCAACTAGATTGTTTCTCAATCATAGGACACATGCTTCCTCTCTCAGACAGGGGCCGTTCAATGGCCTGACCCTCTCTGCTTCCCCTCATGGCTCTCCTGCCATTTTCTTCTCTGAATAGAGATCTGGGTCCCAGACCAAACCTGGCTTTCTCTCCCTGAGAAGAGTGGGCCATCGCTTTCAAGGTATGCACTGATCTGCTCAAAATTTTCTTGGGAGCTGGAAGAGGAGGCCCTCCCTGGCCACCCTCCAGGAGAATGCTAAAGTCAAAGGAGGCCTTGGCATGAACCCAGAAGGATTTCCTCCTCCGAAACATAGACATGTCTGGGGCAGCCATTAAGGAGATCGCCATAGGTAGATCTCCTCTCCTTCTATCTCCTCCTGTGTCACTGACGACATGGAGCCAGAGTCCCAGGGGATAATTAAGATTGTTCATTGACAACCTGGAGGAACTGTAATTAGGAATGGCGGCTTGGGCGAGGTGCCAGGTATTGTTCAGCACCGGAGGAGAAAAAGCAAGAAATAAGATGGCTAGATATGTGACATTCTTTCCTCATGATTCTTGGCTCTGAGGAAAGATCTGATGTTGCCCCTTAACACCCTGGTATGCAATCTAGAGGATAATTATCCTTCTTCCTCTCAGTGCAGTGAAACGAGGGACAGAATCACACAGCTTTGGCCATGGTGCCATGAGAAAGAAGATCGGGTGCCCTGTTTACTGGGAGCTATCTTAAGGAACACTGCAAATGGGAAAGATGGGCCTGTGTCAAGGACCTCCCCAAGAGCCAAGAGGTATCCCACATGTAAGCACTTACGTTGATGATCACAGAGAACTTGCCGATTCCGGAGAGAATGTCAAACCAGATCCCTGTAAGATGGAAAGGAAGCTGTCTGGCTCACTCACTCCCACGCTCAGTGATGACAACACTCTTTCTTGCTCAGGGGGACATTTCGCAGACAAGTTCCCTGGGGAATGTTGGGTGGGCCTTCCAGGAATGGACTTGTCTGGAAAGGTTTAGAATCCCCTGTCTGAAAACGGGGGCTGGGATAGGGGAATGAGGGCTCCTGGCAGGGGAGAGTATGGCCTGTCCCGCCATGGAGGTTATGAGGATGGTTACGAGGATGAGGAGTTCAAGATGGGAAAGAGGTCAAGCCTCCCAGTTCTTCTTGATTCTGGGCCCACTGTTGGGTCAGGGTGGCATTGGGTGGACACAGTGTTGGGGATGAGCCTGTCTCAGGTTCCCAGCAGAGACCATACCTATGTCTTTGGTCCTCACAGCATCCGGCCGTCTCAGCTCTGTCACAAACTTCTTTGCATCCAGCCGCACTTCGATGACATTGTTGAGGAGGGCAAAAACGGGTGCCAGAGGGAAGGAGGCCACAAAGAGGGTGACAAAGCCGAACTGGATAACTAAGAGAGAGGACAGTGTGAGAGGCTGCGACAGGAAGAAACCTCAAGTGTGTCTTGCTCTAGTCCCTGCCTGTTCTCAGCAAATCTTTCGTTCTTTACAATTTTGGGGTTTGGGAACCATAGCTGGTGGTGCTCAGAGGCTGCTTCCAGATCTGTCTTCAGGGATCAGTTCTGGCTCTGCACCTGGGGAACCATCCAATGCTGGGGATAGAACCTAGGTACTCTGCATGCTGAGCATACACTCAACCCATTGCGTTATGTTGCCAACTTGAGTCTCTTTTCCAGGGTGTTCTCACAGCCTCCCTTCTCCTCTGGTCCCAGAGATTTCTTTCTCAACACCCGGAGGGAGAGCAAAGTTCTGAATTTCATAACCGAGATATGAGGAAAAGAAAAGCATCAACTCTCCCTCACCCTTAAACCTCTCACTAGTGCCGCGGGCCCAAGAATAAATTGTTTCATATTCGCAGGCCAGATCATCTTGCCAGAATGGCCTAATTCTTCCCCAGAAGACAGAAAGCTGTTTTATCAACCTGTTCCCACAAAACTTTATTTATAAAAACTAAGAAGAAAGCTTGTTTTTGGTCCCTGGGCCAGAGTTTGCCACCCCTTCCCCCCTCCAAGTAACTTAAAATTCTGAGTCTCAAAGTTTCTCTGCTCTTCCCACCTCCAGAGTCCCAGACTTTAGTCATTCCTCACACAGATACTGAGCGCTCACTGGAGTCAGGCACTAGAACAAGTATCTAAGGTGGCAAAGGTCATATTTTGCTGGTAGGAAGTTGGTGTTGAGGGGAAGGTGTGCAAACAAGTTGGATGTATGTTGGCAGAGAGAGAAAGCCCAGAGACAGCAAGGACACATGGATCATGGCCCTTCAGGATGAGGGGGTAAGGAATGTCTCCACGTGGAGAAGGCAAGTTTTATCTTGAGAGATAGACTGTGGTTCTGGGAAGGCTGGATTCAACACTTTGTGGAGAAAGCCCCAGCCAAGCATGTGTCTGGAAACAGTCCAAGCACTCACCATTTTCACCTGGACAGCCAGGGGCATCTTCTGTCTCCAGGCCTCTATAAGGTCAATTCAGTCCCATGTGCTTGTGCTCTGACCCTCTCACCTTTAGGGACTCGTCCACTGTTCTGTTGGCATCCGCCTATTTATTTTTTTCCAGTTCCTTCCCTGGTGATAATGCTGTTTTGCAATTGGCTCCCAACCTATCTCCCTTCCCCTCTCCTAATGTCCCTCCCAATGACCACCCAACTACTGCCTCCCAGCATCTTCTAATACCTTACATGCATTGTACAGCATCCATAATTTCTTATTCTCTTGACATTTTCTGAATGCTTCAAGTCCTTCCATTAATGATGCACAAGCAAGTGTCCTCAGTCTCCCAGACCACCAGAGGCCATCTCCTGGGACAAGCCCGTTGGTGTGAACCCCGTAATGGCCTCCCCTAGTTTCTGCATGCCTCTGTTCATGCTATCAGGACTGGTCTGTGCAGGGGAGAATGGCAGGGATGTACACTCCAGGGGCTCGGTATATACTTGCCAATCTGAACCCAATACCTAGTCCCAGGAAAGTCTCAATAGCTCAGGTCTTCTTATTTATTTCTGGGGAGTGTAGACCACACGTGGTAGTGCTCAGTGCTTACTTCTGGCTCAGGAATCACTCCTTATGAGGCTTGGTGGGTAACCATAGATGGTGCTGGTGTTGAATTTGGATTAGCCACATGCAAGGCAAGAGCCCTACCTGTTGTACTATCACTCTGGCTCTGTCAGGTCTTCTTATGAAAGAGAAGTTATTTTACTTCTTGTGCCTAATTTACTTTCTGCAGACATTACAAATAATAATATCCACCCTGGACCAGGGATGTGACTCAGACTAGAGCTTTTGTCTTGCAATGAGCAGACCCTGGGTTCAATTCCTGACACTATAGTAAAAAAAAAAGGTAAAGTAATATAATAACTGTCACTGTCACTGTCCTCCCGTTGTTCATCGATTTGCTCGAGTGGGCCCAGTAACGTCTCCATTGGAGACTTTGTTGTTACTGTGTTTGTCACTGGTAGCTTGCCAGGCTCTGCCGTGTGGGCAAGATACTCTCGGCAGCCTGCCGGGCTCTCCAAGAGGGGCGGAGAATCAAACTCAGGTCGGCCATGTTGGCTGCGTGCAAGGCAAACGCCCTACCGCTGTGCTATCGCTCCCGCCCTAATAATAATAATAATAATAACAATACCAACTTCATGGGAGACATAAGAGTAAATGATTATGTGTGTAAAGTGCTTAGAACAATGCCTCCCACTCAGCAGGAGTTCAGTGATGTTATCTGCCATGTAATTTTACTTTTATTGGAGTCAATATTAACATGCAGAGATGACTGCAATGTGCACAGCACCCTTAGAAGATGCACAGACACACTTGTAAGGTGTGCTCTCTGGGGAGAGTCAGAAGGAGGTCAATGCTGGCTGTGGGTTTTCATGCACCTCATGTCCTGAGGCCAATCTCTCCATTTCAAAGGGCCTTAGCATCCTCACTGATAAGTTCAGGAAACTGGTTTCAATTCCCTTTGGATCTGATTCTCATTCTCTTGGACAAGCTTCAAGATTCTAGGATATTCATATTAAGAAGGGGGGAGAAGAAACAGGATCAAACTTTAAAAAAAAAAATAACTTCCACCAACAAGGAATATGCCTCAGCACAGTAGAAGTTTCAAGAAAGAGACCTTCATGGGACTTTATGTAACACAAAAACTGGATTTGAGGGGCTGTTTGGAAACCCAACTGGTAGTGGTTGGTTACTGTTCTGGCTCATACAATGTGGCTATCATCCCTAATGCTCAGTGAATGTCAGTTGGGTCCTCAAAGACAAATAGGCGCACATCTGTCTGGGATCCTTTGGAATGATGGCCTGGTTCACTGGCTAGACACAGGGGACTTCCAAAGCATGCTCTGGGCGCCAGCATAAAATTCAAGGCCTAGTCCATCTTGTAAATAAGGCTTTGCTAAGGAATTCACTTTAGAGTTGAGGAACAGACAAGGGCAAAGTGGGTGATAGGAGGGGAGTGGTACTAACAAGGAAAGCAAAACAGATGTAAGGCGGACTTCTAAAACTTGTAAAACATGGCCTGTATTTAAGGACAGATACAAATCTATCTTTCTGTCTGGAGTTCTGAATTGCTCTTCTTGATCCTAATGAGCTCAGTTCTTGATTCTAATGAGCTCAGGGCAAATGTTCTTCATCTCCTAAGTGGCTTCCTCCAACAGAACTGTGCCAACTCTCTAAAGCCCCAATGAGGACTTGGCCAGGAGAGCAATGCAGGGAAAATCAAGTAACTTGAGATGACTAGAAGCCCAGAGAGCATGTCCTCACCATGTGGGGTCAAGGACACTCCGCATCCCAAGGTCCTTTCAGAGTGGCAGAAAAACTGAACTCTCCACTTACTCAACTTTCTCTACCATGAGCTCCAGAAGTGAGACATGTATACAGTATTTGTGGATTGCCCTGGGGGTTGTGTTTTACCTCCACAAATTCTCCAGACACAGGTTCCCTGTTGTCTTTCTTTAGACAGTGTCAACAGCTTCAAGGGGTAGCTACCTACTAATGCCACAAATTATTTACTCCCGGAGATTGGTCATATTTACGTGACTTAATCCTCAGTTGCCCTTAGTTCCTAGCACCCCAATCTTCTAACACATGGTGTCTGCAGTTTTCTCTTGCCATGGAAATCTCTGCATTAAACAGCCTCAAGGAAATGGGCTAAACAAAGATCAGTGGCTCTGAACTTGCAGTGACAAGATACTTGATCCCTTCTGATATTTCTTCAGGGCGTCCTGGGCCAAGAAAAGTTACTGTCTACAGAGGTCCCATGTACAGAAATGTTGCTTGCTTGAACTGAATACCCTGCCCATTTCTAGGAATCAACAGAAAGAGGCAGAAGAAATAGTAGATTTTGTTTGATTTAAGTGGTGGCAGAGTGTAGGATAACATTGGTTTGTCCTTTCTCCCTTACCACAGGGAGTTTAGGTTTATTGGGTTACACCCATCACAGTGCTCCCAGGACACTCTCATTCTTTTGTGTTTAACTTCTCCTCTGTGCTCTGCTTCCCCTATCTGTAAATCACTTACATCCCCAAATCAGACCCTGTGACTTGTAAGGTCAGGTCCTTCTAAGGACTCTGGATTTTGTATTTGTAAGTGAAATTTTGCTTTTCTCTTTCCCTTATGTCCTTTGTATAGTTTACCTTAGAGCATGTCCTTTTCTCACAGACACATGAAGACAGTTAATGCTATGCTTTTGTAACTTGGGAGTTAATTCACTCAGAATAATATTTACTCCAGGAGATCGGTCATATTTACTTGACTTAATCCTCAGTTGCCCTTAGTTCCTAGCACCCCAAAAGTAGGGTCCTGAAGAAGGAACTGGATGGAAACAGGCAAGCTCTAAGCTACCTTGGCATAGAAATGGGACAGGCCAAGTGCTATAACATTTATAATAAGTCGAGAGCATGGTCGTGGACGAATTTCATCATGACCCAAAGAGAAGTGACTGGACACGGACCCTGCTAGGGTTAGGAAGGACTAATCTGGCCTGAGGACTGTAGTCTGGGATCTATAATGAGATGTTTCCAGGCGAGCCACCCTTTAAACTTAGTACATCTCTTACTGTGTCTGTTCAAAACGACTAGAAAGATTATTAAGAAGTAAATTTAAGATGACTGCTTAAATAGTTACGGACTAAGGAAAGATGAAATTCTGCCCTTGAGTGGATCTCCTAGCAGGATGAGCTCTTTGTCTTAGAAGAGCTCCCCCCACCCCATCCTCCTCCAGAAGGAAGTGCTTTATATGTGTTGATGGCGCTATCTGACCTGTAGTTGCTATCCCCAATACAGGTGACTGGACTCTTGACTAAGGCAGCAAGACTGGGAGTGGGGAGACTAGTATGAGAGAACTGAGATGGGAATGAGGGGCATTGTGAGACTAGAATGTATAAAAATATACATTTAGTTTAGTAAA